CTAGAGATGAAGCTGATGTGGCAAACAATTTGTATTTTTAAAATTCAAAATTGACACGTATTATTCCACATATGGGAAAAATAGGACAACTCATTAAGTTTGGGACAACGAGGCAGCTCTACCGTTAAAATTTTGACGCCGTAACTAAAAAGGATTAACTTGACTCGATTTTTCACAAGTTAGGATCACTTTGAACTTTTTAAAAAAGGTAGGACCACTTTGAATAATCTCCCTCTTTCTAGGGACCAAAAGAGGTATTAAGCCAAATATAAATTAAAAAGTATATAAATTTGTCATATAATCTCACCTTGCTCAAATTTATCAAGTTCTTTAGGATCCTCATCAAAAAGTACAGAGAAAGGTGTTCCTTTTTAACCAATCTTGTGTGCAAAAAAGCACTTCCACTATTTTAGGCGTTAGGCAACTACGATAAGGACTAACCACTCTTCCTCCTGTACTGAATGCACACTATGATGCTACGGTAGAGATAGGAATGGCTAACACCTCTTTAGCCATGTTCGCAAGGATAGGAAATCTAGTCGAGTTGACTTTCCACCAATGTAAAATATCAAGCTCAACTGACTTCATATAAGGTTCAGGATCCTCTCTCAAGTATTTATCAAGCTCTGATATATAATCAAATCTACGTCCTGTAGCTCTTAGGTAGAAACTCATGCCATGAGGATCATCATCATCATCATCTAGTTGAGATTCTTGTTGGCTACTTTGAGAACCCTCCTCAATACCTTGATATTGTTCATAAAGTGTTTTTAAAGATGACAATAATTTTGATTTCAATTCACTAGACATACTAGATTCAAAGAGGTAGTCAATGAAGTAATTAACAAAATCCAACTTACTCCTAGGGTCAAGCACAACAGCAATCAATAATAAGATATTAATTCCATTAGGATTTCCCCAATATTTTTCATACTTACCCTTCATCCTCATTGCCATCAATTTTATGCTCACATCACTACTCTCAGAATATTGTCGAATCCTTTTACCAATTCCAAACACCTCCTTCATATACATATGACTCGTGACATAAGATGAACCAGAAATGCGTAGGGTAGAATCATAAAATATCTTTAAAAATGGTAGAATAGACCTAACATATTCACAATATTCTTATAATGGCACACCAACATTACTTTTGGCCATTTCAACACCAAATTTCTTATATTGAATATCTAGCAAGACAAAGGCATCTTTATACTTAAAGCTTGCCTCTAACATTAAGTAAGTTGAATTCCACCTAGTTTCAACATCAAGACAAACAATAAGTACAATAATGTTTGCTGTAATTTACAGTAAACATTATTATTTTCGTAATATAATTTTACTGGAATGGATTAGATTTTTAGAAATTCAATCTAAATCTAATTTAATTTCAAATAATCAGATTGAAATTAAACTTTAACTTATATCTTTGAAAAAAAATATTTAAAATTTTTGTATATTCAAATCTAAATAACTGAATTAGATTTAAAATTAATGTATATTTTAAAAAATAATTTATAGATTTATAAATTAGTTGATATTAATTTTAAAATCGATATTTTTTTCAAAAGTAGTTTTAAACCTAAAATAATTTGAAATTATTAGATATTTTTTAAGGATAATTTTTAAAATAAAAAATTTATTGAAATATTTTATATTTTCTAAAATATGTAATTAATTAGTAACTTAAAATAAGAACTTGTTTTTTTTATATTTAATATACATTTTCTGTAAAGCTAAGTAAAATGTTTGTTAGACATTCTGAATGAATATATTTTTTAATAACATATTATATATTCTTCTGAGATCTAGCGTTGAATGATAATTTATATTATATTTGAGATATTTTATATAATTTTAATTCATTAATCAGCTTACAGGAGTAATAATTAAATAAATCAATGATAACAAATAAGTAAATAAAAATGAAAATAACTATATTGTAACTGTTTTATTTTTTTAATTTAATATATTTTTCAATGTTGTATATATTTATGTTTTGTTCAACTTGAATTGAATTTATATCTAATATTTTCAGTTGAAGTATTGTAAAAAAATATTATATAAAAAATATAAAATAAATGTAGTAAAAATAAAAATTGAATTAAAGTTATGAATTTCTTAAGATTAAAAAAATAAAGCAGAAAAATACATCTACTTATCTACTTATAGAATCTAAAAGAAAACATTAGATAGATGAAGATATGAAAAGATGGAGTAAATTAAAATCTCAATTTAACGTAAATATTATTAGTCTTATAAATAAGAGACAATAGATTGAAAATAAACAGTGTCATCACTTCATCGATACTGTTAGGGCAATCTTTTCTCTCTGTATCACGCAGCTACTACGTCTTCGATTAGCACCACAAAGGTTTGAACTTCGCTTCCCTCGCTTTCATATGCCAATTCAATTTTATACAAAAGGGTTCCTAATAAATCCTTATTTTTTTCAACATTTGGTTAGGGTTTGATACAAATTCGTAATTTTTCATTATTTAATTTTGTGTATCCTTCGCAGGTTTTGAGAAATTCAGCGTTAATTTTCCATGGCCAATAATCCGTCACAGCTTCTCCCATCTGGTTAGTGATTTCATAATTTTATTTGAAAGTTTTGTTGGTAATGAGTAAATGCAATGTAGCATGTAAAGTGTTTAAAAGTGTATGATTTGTGGTGGAAAATTGCAGAGTTGATTGATCGGTGTATAGGATCGAAAATTTGGGTGATAATGAAGGGTGACAAGGAGCTTGTTGGTACTCTTAGAGGCTTTGATGTTTATGTCAACATGGTACTTGAAGATGTTACTGAATAGTAAGTTATGCCCTTTGCTGAATGTTTTTCTTCTGTTTTATTTTTGTATATATTTTCTTATTTCTTATCTATCTGTAGAACACGTGGTTATTGGGTAGGAAGGGTAATGGTAAAATGCAACAGAATAGAGCTACTCATTTGTAAGACTTAGAATCTGGTATTGAGTGCTGGGTGGTTTTGGTTCTTAAACTTTCAGGGATAAAATTGTTTTATGGATGAGTATGATTCCCCTTGCTTTTTAAAATATCCTTCTAACTGGAGTTGTATTTATATTGTCATATTTCGATAATTCATCATGGTTCTGTCTTTTACCTTAACATTTTTGAAGAAAGTGTATATATCTCTACTTTGAATTGGTGTGATGTTGCAGCCACAATGTTACTGGTTTAGAAATTATTGTATCTTCATTTTACAATTGTTTTTTTGGAGTTCCATTACAAAATCGTTTTGGCAGTTTTATCACCATGAAGTTACTGAGAAATGTATAGGCTGCAAATACAATGTTTTTAACCTGGAGTATGATTGAGTTTTTTTCCTTCGTCAGTTTCTTATATTGTACTTTTGCTATTGTCTGCAAATAAACCTTATTGAGCTTTCCCAGTATGCTCTTTTTCTTTTTGGTTTTAGAAGCCTCAAATATCTGCTGCAAGTTTGTTGAAGTAAATTTGCCACATTCCTGAGTAATTTTGTTAGTGTAAATTTGTTCTGATTAAATTTACCCTGGCATGATTTCTATTTGCTTTCGATTCTATGATTTGTATATTTATGTTTGCACACATGCATGTAATTGATGTGGTTTGTTGCTTTTCATATTCATACAATAGCGAGATCACGTCTGAAGGGAGACGGATAACCAAGCTTGATCAGATTTTACTCAATGGAAACAACATTGCCATAGTAAGTTGATATTCAATTACTTTCTGTTTTCTTGAAATCTTTGGAGTATTAACAAAACGTTTGATTCGGCAACTCTAGAAAGTGTCGACAATAATTTTTAAGGTTCAGTTGTTGCCGGAAAGTGTTATCTGATACTTACTAACAAACCATTATCTGGCTTTAATGCAGTTGGTCCCTGGTGGTTCACCTGAGTCTGAATGAAAGATTGTTACTTGATTACCAACATTAACTCTGCAATGTTGCTCTAGGCACATAATTCGTAAATTTTAACGAGGATTCTTAGGCCATTAGGATTTTACTTGAAGAAGTTTGGTTTCATGATACATGGTTGTAATGTTATGGCTATTCAACTTTTATCCCCATGTTGAACTGTGGATTGTCTAGTGTAACAAGTAATGCTACTGATTATGACCATTAATTATGTGCCTTTATATTCCTTTTCCCACTTCCGTTACTCGAGCTTCACTCTCTATATGAACTGATAGAATCAATTGGACGCCTTTTTATAATTTTAATGTGGTCCCGCTGTAATTTAAGATTGATTCAGATACGAGAAAACGAAGCTTGCTGTTTCTGTAGAAGTATTGGCTACATAGAATAGAACGTGCAACAACCTAAGAATAGAACCACTTGCGTGTTAATTGGGGCAACAACGTCCATTAGTTATCTATTGGTTCGATTATTAGGTCATTGCATTTTTGTTGTGTTTGTGTTAGAAAGTGGGTAATTTACTGAATATATACAGAATAATAGTTATTTTTTAATATAAAAATATGATATACATATTATGAGTTATTTAATTATAAATAATAGTTTTTTTATTTAAAATTGGGATATAAAAGTTTTCAATCAATCTTGACCAATTTTAATTTTCTTTTTAAGTTTTTCATGCGATTCTTCATTTCGTTAGGCAATACAAAACTTGCTGTGAAAGAAAAGTATAATTAACCACTTGAAATTTGTTAATGGCAATAATGATGAATTGACATAACCGTTAGGATATCTTATTTAGATGGTGTAAACTTTCCTTCATTAACAAGATCAGTCTCAAGTGCGAAAATTTAAATTTAATTATCAGTGCTCTCATTGAGTTATAAAGTATAATGTTCTTGTTTCAAAATCAAATCTCATAACTATCGAAACAACATTATACTTCCTAAGATTCAGAATAATTATCAGGGCCGTGAGTTTTGTTGTTGCCTCTGACTTCAATTAAAATTACAAAAGGTTTGTGGGATCAGACCCTTTCTTGACCCTTGAGATGACATGTCGAATCCTTAATTAGAGAAACTGTCTATGTAAGTAAGAAAAGAAGGACCAACTTCAATGTGAATGTCAAGTATTAAAAGATGTGATAATATGATATATGGCTGAGTAATATAGATTTAATACAATACTTAATATGTGAAACTTCCTCCTTAATGAACTACTCTTATGAATTTTACTTTCTCATATTACTTTTTTAGTTGTAAACAGCTAGTAAACCAAGAAAGCTTCCATGCCCTTCTGCAAACTACAGCCAATGAATATTTTTTTGTTTAATCTTTTATACATTTTCTTTTGTTGGGAACAAACTTGTCACGATTTACATGTATGGACCTCTGTATACTGTTGAAATATTAAAAAGGAAAAAACAAAAGAATAGTAATAGAAAAAGAACTACACAATGTTGCTAGTCATACTAAAGTTGAAATATCACCTAGAATTCGTCAAAGTGTAAGGAAATATTGCTTCCATGACATAAAAAAAAAAGGGAGTTACTGAGCAATGAGGCATGGAATCAACAGCATATTTTCAGCAACCGTGTCGCACTCGTCGTTATATTCTTTCCCAACATGAAAATTTTTGGCATGAAATGTTCAGTTAAGTCCTGTCGGTTGAGCTTTAACTCTGAGCTCTCATCTCCACATCCAAAAATTGACAAAACTGAACGATTGCAAAGGGGAAGCCTTTTATTGTCAATTAAGCACGTTTTGCTGCCTTCGCTCTTGCCACAGACTTTAAGTAGAGCTCTTCATATTGTGCTGATGATGCTTCCCAGCTGAAATCTATGTTCATGTCCTTCTGAACAAGTTGCTTCCACCTCTCAGGATTGTTCTTAAAGAGATTCAATGCTCGTACCAAAGCACCGTTTAATCCCTGTCAAAATTTTATTATTATTGTTATTAGAGTTGAGCAGAACAACTAACAGCAAAAATTAATGTTTCTCTGGTCGTTAGAATGCTAAAAGGAGGGAAAGATAGGTTTACAGGTGAAGTAGAATCAATGGTCAAATAACTTTGCATAACCGACTCTATTCAAAATAAAATGACTGCAT